AATTGACATCAAAGTGGTAGGTTTATAATTTTACGATTTTGTTAGCTTTAAAATAATTACAAGAAATAGTATTTTATTAAAGAAAAATTCAATAGGCTAGGCACATATTGTTCCTATAATTTTTTTACATTATTAATTAATTAAAAATAGGATTATTATAATTTTTTTAATAATTATTATAAAAGTTAATTATTATGATTTTTTATGATTAAAAAAAATTTATTAGTTATTACAGAATTTTCTAAGTTTCACTTTTCATTTAATGAGTTTTTATTAATTTTATAGTTTTAATATATATTTTAATTAATAATAGAGTTTGTATTAAATAATGTATGTTAATTTTTTTTAATTCCTATAATTTAAAATAGATGATTTGTCTTTATATTTGTAATAATTTAATCTTTTTAATTTTTTATTGTTAATTTTTTTTATAAAATTGTCTTTTCATGTTGATGTAATAAAGATATTAATTCAATTGTATATTTGATGTTGAATTTTATTATATCTAATATTAAGACATTTTTTTTACTTTAAAAAAATTAATAACATTTACTATATCACCACAAAATATAGACAATGTTACAATAAAAATTAAAAAAAATAAATATAAATATAAGAATTAAAAATATTTATCTTAAATTATAGTTATAAAAAAAATGAAAAAGAGAAGTATAATTATAAAGATTATAAAGACAGACGACTAAATATGGTGCTGGTGCACATTGCATCCCCTAACAACAATTGAGTAATTAAAGTGATTAAACGGTAGATATAATTAACTCACTTTTGCCAACTTATAAAAAACTATAATCATAATTAAATTTTAAATAAAAAATATGTTTTATAATTATACAAAACAAATAATATTTTATATATTTTTATTATAATAAAGTGGAAAATCACATTTATATATATATATATATATATATATTCTTAAATTCACTTTAGAAGGAAAAAAAAAAGTAAACAGAAGAGAGCTAAGATAACATTTGTTTTGAGTTACTAAGTATGGAGGTGAGAATGTTTATTCTTACTTTTGTTAAAATGTCATGCAATAATATTTGTAGGTTTCTTTTATTCTTGAGAAAATGATATTTCCATGAGTAGGAAAATTTTATTCACATGATAAGTGATATTCCTTTGAGAATATTAAAAGTTATTTTTCTATATTTAACCTTATAACTTTCATTTTTATTTCAGTAAAAAAAGCTTCCAATTTTATATATATGTTTTAGTTAAATTATTTTAAAATTTAAAAAATATTTCTATGAACATTAAAATCAACCAAACATAAAAGAAAGTTTTGCACTGACCCAGCTGAAAAAAAAAATATTGCAATTATAAATTTCATTGTTTAGTGTTTGATAAAATGAGAGGTGCTTAAATTCAATTAAATTATAGTGTGGTTAATTATTCAACGATGTGTATGTTTTGGATTTTGTCCTTTAGTTTTAAGAGGTTTAAAGGAACATATTACGCAATATTAACACATATAGTGTATGGTAGGTATATGAATATGATTGCTTCCTATTTTATACTTTTAAAGATAATAGAAGATTAATCAATTGAGTTTGACTTATTTTTGTCAACATTTCGTTTATGATCTTATTTAAGTAGGGAAATTAATGTTAACAAAAAATAATGTATAGAAAATAAAACTAGTTAGAAGATGAAAGGAATCAACTCAAAAAGTATTGGTGGGGCTTAACTTGACAGTTCACACCTTGAAAATACTATACTTTTCAGAAATTAAGCTGTCATCGTATCATACCAATACTGTAACCAAACGCGGTGCGAACAATTTGCACACGTGATAAATCTTGCGATTTATCCAAAAATATATTTCACGAATATTGAAGGCACGCTTTTTTTTATATACGCTGGGGAAAAATAACAACAAAACAAAAGAAACTACCCTACACTGTCCTAAAGATATCGTAGGAATATGCTTTATATATTTTGAATAAAAGTTTTTTTAATTAACAGTCCAATACTAAAATATAGATGTTCACATATTTGTTGATATTATTTAATTTTTTTTGTTATTATTTTTCTGGTTACTTTACATTAATTCAAAATTTTATCTAATTTAACTATTATTTTTATTATTATTTTGTGTTTATATATATTAATTAATATGATATATGTTATTAAAATTATTTATTTATCATTATTATTAAAAACAATCCCCTTTAATTATAATATGTAAAGTTGGCTCAAAGTGGTAAATGCATCGAATAACTTAACATATTAATATTACTTTTACTTTTTTTTTCTCATTAGAGCATATAATATGTAAATTTACATATTTTTTAACATACTTTTATTTAAAGAACTGGTTTTTAATATATTTTATTTTTCATAAATGAGTTCAAAGATTAAATTTCTAATTATAAATTATTACTATCTCTTAAATAAACTACATGTTATTACACTGATATTTGTTTTCTTTAATTAAGAATTATGTTTGATTCATGCTTTAAATATGATGTTGTAATTAAAGATATACCAAAAACAAAATGAAAATACACGTTATAAATAATAGCTTTGGTAAACAACTAAACATGCACTAATTGTTCAAAAATAATAGCTTTGCCATCCCTTAAAACAAAATATATATTTTCTGAATAAATAATAAATGTACTGATTATATAAATAATTTTAACATTCACAATTAATCACAAATTGGCATATATTGTAACTTGTAAGTTTGCTAACTTTTATAATAACTTGTGTAAAATAGATATTTTGTGTCTTTATGTATTTTTTAAAAATAGAAATAAAAAATTAAATGAGTTGTTTGAAATAAACTCACTCTTTTCCTAATATCCACTTCCTTCATAAACCTCGTATTATGATTGTTGACCAAGCTCAAAATGAATATATGTTGCATTTAATTTTGATGATGACAAATATAAGTATCTTAAATGATAAGAGTGCAAATTATATCTTGTTATGTTTATGTTTTATTGTATGTTTACTTTGTGTTTTATAGTTAACTTAGCTTTAAATCTTCATATAGATGATGTTTAATGTTGAAAAGAAGTTTCAAAACTAATTTGAAAAGAAATTTGGTTAAAAAAAAATCAAAGTATTGAGTTTCTACTTAAAATAATCGATTATTTACTCTATTTTTCAAATTTTGATAAACATTGTTGTAATAATTGATTATCCAGTGAAATAATCGATTATTTCAGAAGTAGCACTCTAGAATAATCAATTGCCTTGAGAAATAATTGATTAATCTATTCTTGATAGATTTCTAAATCTGTGAAGAACAAAATAATCGATTATCTATGGAAATAATCAATTATTTCTGTCGAAAAACTCTATATATCATTTTTCACTTTTAGAACTCAGAAAATTTAAATATTTGTGATATTACTTCTGATAAAACTTCCTAAAAAATGTTTCTCTCTAAAAGAAGAGGTTTGATACCCTTTTGGGGACCTCAAGAAATAATTCAAAAATTGTATTGATCATCATCATTTTTATAAAAATATAAGCTAAGCTACATTGTTTGATTCATCTCTCTAAATTGTTTTATACATCAGGTGAATTTGTTCCTAAATCTTTATGTAACTAGTTATCTTAAGAAAAGGGAATCTTGTAATATGGGGCTATAAGAAGAAGTTTCTTAGGGTGCAAGAAGTGGTTTCTTTAAATGTATAAAAGTATATTGCATTTGTTTGTATGATTTTAAACCTTCTAAATTTAAAGATAGTGAAAAATCTCAATTAGATTGATTGCAGATTGAATGTACCTCACAAGTGGATATGGTTAAACTAATATAAATTTGTTGTACATTTTTCTCTACCCCAATACTTGTCTTTGCATTTTTTGCAATTTTGATTATATGTTTAATGATATGATATGTTTCATAAACATTACATATAGAATAATTAGAAACTAAAATGACATTAACAAGTAGTCTCAACACAATATCTTACATATAATTGTGGATCAATATATTTCATTGGAAAGCTTTAAAAAAGTTTTTGATCCAAAAAAATTTAGAAAGATCATTTTTAATATCCATTTCACTCACCTCCTCTTGAATAAACCATCTTTTCTAACCGTTACTTCCACTTTTCTGAAAAAATAAATAAATAGAATAATTGAAATTACAAAGTAGTGGATATTTTAGATTGGAAAAATGAGTAATTTGAGAGTAAGTATACGTATGAAGAGAAAAAAATCATAAAGAAAAATGTAAACAAAAAATTGTATAACCTTTATATATTGTAATAGATAATTACCTTTAAAAAAATCAAATTAAAAGTGATTTTTAATTAATAGTTAGTTGACAACATAAATTTTTGTAAGGCTTTGATGCATGCTAATTAAACTCGTTTTTTTTTTTAAGACAACAATTTTATTAAATAAAGTCAATTGCGCACAAGAAGTGCCAATTGAGATAAGTACAATAGTATCATTGAATCCACATTTTAATACTGTAATGTCAAAGAATAGCAAATACATAGATCCACTCACAGCAAATTGCAGTATTGTAACATTTCAATGTTAATTAAACTCGTGATTTTATTTTTTAAAAAAAGAAACAATATCTTAATTTACTTTTTCTAAATTACACGAGGTGATAATTATTTATATTTTTTCTTTGAAAAACTATTAATTCCTTCTATATATAAATTAATCATAATAATATTTTAAACAAAAACATGTTTTTAAGGATAATTTTTTAATGAAAGTGTTTTTAATTATTTTTCTCTAATGAGAATAGTTTTAGAATTTTTTTAACCTCTTATAAAAATGTTAACTGTTCATTTAATATACCACTACAATATTTACTATCTCATAATTTATGGGTGTTGCAAAACATAGTGAATAATTCTTCAACCAAACACAATGAATGAGATGACAAAAAGAGTGAAACCTGTATTAATCAAGAAATCGTCTTAGTAGTTAATTTATTCACATGCCCGTTTTAGGTAAAAGGGGGACGAGGAGGTCATCTGTGAGCAAAGAAATAATTGATGTCTACCTTAAAAATAAAAAAATTTAAATTAAGCTTTCACAATATGTCATAATTTACAGCCTATATTGCTACGATAATATTCAAGATTTCAAACAAAAAAGAAAGTGTGAAGAAACCTCGTAAACCTACTAAGTATATTTAAAAAAATAAAAAAAGAAATAAAAAAAGAATAAAAATCTGATTCTAAATAGACACTCGTCTGAAACAACAAAACAATTTTGAATTGGTTCGTCCATTTCTTGAAAATTAACTAGTGATGATATGGCGATGCTTCTTGGGCCCGAATCTTTCTCTTATGAAGGAACCTCTGCAACGATTTTCTCATGGAGAGACCAGTGCCAGTGCCAGTGCCAGGGCTATATAGTTGATTAGGAGATTGCATGGTTGTTGGTGAAGATGGCTCTGACCCACTTGCTGTTCTCACTCTTTGCTCCATTCTTTTATTCGCAAGCATTAAAATGGATTTGGCCTGCACAAAAATTATTATTAGTCTTTGATTCCATGCAAAAACTAAAAGTATATATACCTTTAAAAATATCCCATTTCTAACTACAAAGAATTCATGCCACATGAAATCACAAATTTCTCCCACAAGGTTTATGGGCACTGACAAAATTGACCCATTTGATAAAGTAGTGGTATATTGGTAAACACAAGTTGCGTGCAATTTTTGAAGTCAAAGAACAAGTCTACGGAGCATTAATTCGAATTATCTATGAAGTTTCTAGGAAACTTGACGAGTATCAAATCAAAGGTGGGAGGTATTGTGCTAACACCAATCTTGTCCGGTTTCGCATCAAACTAGGTCATGTCACCTACCGTTTCTTTTTTCTCCTTTGGATTTAACACCAACTTGTCGGCAACCACCTTATCTTTTTTAAAATGTTTTTATTTCTCTCTCGGGTAAAAAATCCGTACCACGCGGTTTCATGTGATTAATTACTATGCATATTATGATCCTTAATATTCTAAACTTGAATAGTGTGCCTAATTTGAATTAGAGAAGGAAAAAGGGAAGGGAAATAGGAGTAAAAATAATTCCTAAAAATCGTTTTATTTAAAACTATTTTAAAGTTTATCATCAAAAATTACTCTTTTAAAAACCCGTTTATCTGAAATTTGAATGCGGCTCAATTTCTCTTTTTCTATATGTGCCTAGGAAGCTAGTCCTCAACAAACTCTCCTTTGCATCCCTTAAATATACGTGTCCTTGATTTAATCTTCAAAGTAAATTTATCATTAATTAATTCGGTTATTTAATTATAAGTGTCATAAAAACAATTGTTGGACTTAAAGAAATGAATATCACACCCTAAATTAAGGAATAATATGATGAAATTTTACATGATTGGGTGACTAAATTGATAAGAATTTTTCCTTATAGATAGGTTAGTAATAATATTTTAAATTGTTGCGGGACAAAATTGATGACAATTTTTTTAGAAAACCCAAACATCTAATGACGCTCATATATTTTTAGAGAATAAAAAAAATTTTATACTGAAATTAATTATTTTCTTACTAGTTGATCTAAAACTAAAACCTAATATTACTTGGCCACCTTAGCTTCTTTGTCCATTGTCATTAATTAGTTTAAACACTTTAGTTGATCCCTGAATTTTCTCATGCCTATATTATAGGCCATTCCTAGTTGTATAGATAAGCCCCCTAGCTAATCCGATCTATTGGGTCCAACTAGCGATAAATATGCTATATCTGTTTAATTTGTATGAGAACCTAACTAATTAACAATCAATTATGATGGCTATACTATTCTTCCCCTTAGTTAGGAGTCAAATCTAATAACAACGGGATCCTTTGTATTGAGTACTCATCGCGTTGTAGATGAATGGGTTAAGTGACTAATTGGAACATGAGAACACAACACAATATTCTCTATATCTGATTACATAGCCAAAATCCTACGACTAATTCCCTAAATCAGTTTACACATATATATATATATTATATTAGATAATATTAGATATTGATAAATATAGATACATACCTGAAGCTCTGTGACATCGGCAACACAAATCTTTCCATCATAGAAAATGGTGAGAGGCTGTTGCTGTTCCTGGCGGTGGTGGTAATTTTGCATTGGGCTGATCTCACTAGCATCTTCAACCCTTCAAGGATTAAATTAAAGCATAAAAAAAACAAAGAATTGAATATGAGAATTATATAGTATAGTTAATTATAAGAATAAATAAAATAGGAAAAATAAGAATAAATTTGGTTGCTTACAAAGAGTGGTGGCGAGGGCCAGAATCGCAGGGAGGAAAGAGGGCAAGTTCCAAGTTGCAGTTTCTCCTCATGGTATGAAAAGGGATTGGTGAGAGAGAAGAATTGAAGATGATGATGATGATGGATATGGAGAGAAGAAGAGGAAAATGAGAGATGTGTTTATATATGTGTGTGGGAACAGCGAGAGGAAACAGAGATTGTATTGGAGAAGACGTAAAGCACAAGGGAAACTACTAATATCGGCGATTGAAAGGGACTTTGTAGAATTAGCGCATGTGTTGCACGCTGTTTTTTTCAGGTTTGAGTCACATGTTATTGTTTATGTGTCTGCCACCCCACACCGCTACACAACACTACTTCTCATTCTGTAACCCTTTCGGAAATTAATATAACTCCTGCATCATTTTTTAACATTATTTTCTATTCAAATTTATAAAAACAAATACTCATTTTATTAATTATCTTATTCTTTATATTTTTTTCATTATTATTTTCAAAATTTTCAAATTATGTACTAATTATAATATCAATTAAATTAATATATATATTTTTTTTTATTTTAATAAATCCTCAAAAAAAATGTTGTAATTTTAAAAACTATTTTTACTATTACAAATAATTAAATTTTTTTTGACAGTTAAAAATCGTCACAATATTTTAGATTATTTTTTTTTCTTTGTCAGGATCAATTTTTCATTTTTTATTTTTATTTTTATTAAGGATAATAAAAATAAAAAAATTCATAACCTTAATTCAAAATAATAATCAAAACCTAGGACATAACTTCTTGAGCGTGAGTCTCAAACTTCTCTTTCAATATTCTTTCATGAGTGGGAGTGTCAAGTTCTTAATCAGGTATTTTTGCAAGAACTTCTTTAAGTATCTCTTTTTTGTGTTCTTTTTCAATTGATTTGCATTCATTTAAGGTCTCGAAATTATTCGCAATAACTTGTTTAAGCATGCAGGGGTTCAAATTCATTGCGTTCTTAATATTCAATCAACTAGCTTATAAATTCATTTGAGATGATGAGTTTTCAATCATTTAATCGCATTAAACTTGTTCTGTTTAATTTCATCAATTCCATACTCACGATAAGTCTTCTCTTCCGAAAATCAAAACCTTGGCCACGAAATCTACATGCAAGAATCTGTTTTAGCACAGCTTCGACGCATTATTAATACTCAAACATGTTTATTCATAAATCCATGTAAGGTGAATTTTCAATCGACTCATTAAAATTTATGATTATTCTATTCCCTTGTAAACCCCCTCTCTCTTTGGGTTTTCACTTTTCAGGTATTTTATTTGGTTTACTATTTGCACTTTTGTTTCTACAAGTAAATTGGACTTTTGGAAGAATTACAAATATTTGTTTGCGATTATATCTTTATTACATTATTTTTTTGTGGATAATTTTCATTTTAGATAGAAATTAATTAGTTCATCTTATAGATTCAAGCCCTGCACATGAGCCAATGATTACGAAGATTTGATTTAAAAAAAAAAAAAAAAGTTGTCAATCTCCTAAGGTTTCATTAATTTCTGATGTATCTTATTGAATTGGGTTTTGAGAAGATAGTTGTTAGTTCGAGCATTGTAACATCATTAAAATAAAACAATCTTATCCATTTGTGTTTTAAATAAAGTTGATACTAACCCATCATTTTATTTGACAGAACAAGGATGAAGAGAATGTTTCCTAACTTTTGCCCAATTTGACTCTCAGTCTTATGTTCCACCAAAGTTGCAAAGAAAATTCAGCATCTTAGATAGAACTGAAGTTGGTCTATTACAAGCTCGAGCTGCAATTAAAAAAACAAGAAACAAAAATCAAACACAAGATATAGCCTATGTTCCGGTTGGACCAACGTATCACAATGCCAATGCATTTCACAGGTACACAATGCAATTCTTGTTACTTGTTACTATTAGCTCGATTCTCAACGAGTGTACTAAATCAAAAGTAGTGTAGATCAAGATTTGTAGACAATTAAAAAGTGAATACGCTATTCATCAACTTGTAATAAATACAAAACCTTATATTTAGATTAAGACACGTAAATCTTTAAACTTAAAAAGAGTTACGATTAACATGAACGATTAAAAAGAAGTTCGAGTTTCAAAGATGTTAGGACTGATATTCATTTTATATCATTTGAAGTTACTCTTTCATATTAGAAATTAGTCACTCATTCATGATTTCAATCCATGGATAATCATTTAAATTGATTCCTCAACTTGAAACTCTAAAAACCTTAAAGCAACACTCAATTCCTCAATATATTAATTTAATTTTCTTGTATTAAGTTCATGGATTTGTTGATTGATGATTTTGAATCTATTTCTTGATGTTAAATAATCATCAAGTGTCTAGATTCAGTTCAGATTACAAATATGTTTCCCAACTATACTTGAAATCAAAATCATACAAACGAAGTATTAAGTATAGAATCAAGCACCACCATGAATAACTAAACATCACATATACAAACAAGAAAGAGTTTACATCAAGATTGACAAATGAACTCAATCCAATTAGGAGAGCTTAGCTATGCATAGTCAAAGAGAATGCAAGTATACAATCCATAGATTAAAAGAAGAAAATAAGAAGAGATGATCCTCATTCTCGAGCAACCATGTTCTTCAAATCTCCTTTAGACCCTATTCTCTCTCTTTCTCATCTTGTCTACTCCTTTCTCGTTTTGAACAATTATTTATATGATCTCCAAAATAGAAAAAATCTGAATTTTTTTTCTCCCACCGCTGTAAAATTGGCTCATTACTGAAACGATAGAGAGTACTTCAACTTGAAGTAAGCTTCACAGCTTGAGCCCTGACTCACTGCTGCAACGATGAGATACCCTGTTCCCAAATTTATCCCAAATTTCTACAACTTGAACACTGGCTGGGCGCCATGGCACCCAAAATCTGTGGCACCTCTGTTACTTCACCGCTTGTCGAACATAACTTCTAATTATTGATATTTTATTTCATTAATTCAAATCAACGTATAAAATGATTTAAATTTTCTAAATAGTATTTAAGAATCCTAAGTCCGCCTCATATCCCAACATAAACCTTACAACCACTTAAATATGGGTAATTTGCATCCACTTTATCCATATAATAGCTAAATGGTATGTTGACGAATTCAATTTGCTAAATTATCTACGGCAATTACATCATTAATTTCGAGGGAGGAAAAAAAACGTGATATGATAAATAAGTAGACCCCATATTTAAGTTATGGCATAGAAGATTCATTTTTATTTTGACAATTTCTCGTGTCTGTGTATTTTTTCCTTTTTGTTTTTTTTGATAAGGACGTGAAAATAAATACCAACTCTTCATGTCATAATTGATCATAACCATTTTTCACATTTCATCAACTTGAGAATAAACTTTAGGTTTAATTTCAAGATATTAATTCTTGACTTGTAGTCAGAAACTAATATACTAATATATTTTGAGGAGCGCAAACAACCATTCTTAATAAAAATATTTTTCATATAATACCTAGTAATTAAACTTTAATTAATTAAAATATTAAATAAATAAATTATTTAACAAAAAAAACCCCAGTTATTAATTAAGAACTATAACTGGTCTTAATAGTTATTTGATTTAATTTTAATACGATAATAATATAAATTTTACATTATAATATATATTTATATATATTATATTAGGTTAAGGATGAAGTTAGTCCAAGAGTACCTCTTAATAAAATTATTTTATTAAATAATATTTGTATCTAATTAATATTTTTTTTTTAAAATTTTTAAATTAAATTTTAATTTTTTAAATAAATTATTAATAATTAAAAATAATCTCGTGTTACAATATAAATTATTTATCTTAAATTTAAAATATAATTTATATGTTTAAAAACATTTATTTATACAAATTTAAAAAATATTTTATATATTTATAAATATAATTTATTATAAATTTTAATTATTTATAATAAAAATTTAACATGTTAAAATATTAGTTATGTTTAGAAGCCAAACAGAATATACTAATGTGACTATAAGTACATATATTTTAGAAGAAAATTCGGATTATTTATTTTTATTTATTTAAGTTTATTATATTTTATAAATAGAAATGAAAAATTTTAAAATATGTTATACGCAAAAAAAAAAAAAAAATCGCAACTGCTCACCATAAATATAAAAGTTACTCTTTTTTTATTAGAATAAAGTTTCAGTTTGAAGTTCTTTATTCACGAGTGCTTTTAGTTTTTAAAGGTATAGTTTTTATACTTATTATGAATAGAGTGTAAAACAGTTTTTCTTAATGATTGTCAATTTCAACAATTTATGAGGCTTTTAAGTGATTGTGGATGTGATAAAGAAGGATAGAAGGTGATTTGGCTTTTTGTGATATAGGTCATATAGGCGATTAAGAATGATATGTTGGTTAAAAATAAACAAATAAATTTATTGGATATTTAGATTTAACAAAGTTTAAAACTTGGGGTTTGTTGATAATATATATAATAAAAGGAATTCATTTAATCAAATTATTTTTAAACTTTCAATCAGCTTTTTTATTCAGATGTGATTGATTAGCATTACACTTGCAGGATTTCTTGATTTAAAAAAAAAGAAAAAAAAAGCAGTCGACTCAAATTTATATCATTAGATAATGTATTTGTGTGACTATCAATCGCTTGAAGACAATTTTTTTTTATGCTTAAAGGATATTCAAAACATGTAATTTGTAGTAGTATTATACAATCTTTTGTATTTTTAATTTTTTATTTTGGGTAAAATCATATACATGACTAAATTTGCACGTATATGCTTCAAACATCAGAATTCATTAACTATTAAACTTGTTATGTAAAAAAAAAAAAAATCAAATTTATTAAGTAGCTCTTTTTTCTTTCTTGATTATGGTTGGGTAGGAGGCCATGCCGACTTGCAATATTATGAAGAGGTGGCAGTGGCACACGCCCATGACACAATGATAAGACAACATTGGAATTTGGACCTATGTTCACCCCAAAAAGGAAAAGAGCAAAACAAAAAAAACAAAACACAAAGATAATGTTGATCACATGTTAGGAATAGTGTCCCTACGATCGACTTCAGAGTTCAGAGTAGACTAATGCCACCACAAAAGTAATGCACGTGATTCTCTCCAATGGAGCCTTTGTCAAATACTGCCCTATTTTGATTTGTAGGAACTCATTGCAAGTGGAAGGCAGCACCAACCCACCAACTCACACCATTTGATACAAATATGCTTGGTATTATGGTTAACTAACTTTATAAATTGAAAATAAATATTATAATTAATTGGACCAATTTGACATGAACTCGTTTAAAATCCAATTACTAGTGTTTAATTAATGTGACGCCTGCTTCTCTCTCTAGTGTTGGTGGTGTATAAAAAATGTGTTAAATAGTATTTTTATCCTTTAACATTTACATGTATCTTCTTTTTCCTCCATATATATATTCTATTCCTATTGTATGTGAGTAACCATGAGATTTCAGACTGACGACTGTCATATGTGATCTATATACAATAAATCTAGAAAGGAGACAGAAAGAACAAACTACAACGTTCCCGGATCCTTCGTGCAGAGTTCAACCTAATTTTGTTTTCTGTTTTTGAATTCCACAAAGTTAATTAGGCCATTTGATTGCACTTGCCTTTGTAAGAATTTGGACATGTTTTTATTTCCCTTCTTTTCACTTCTTGCATGTTATTGCATGGAAATTATCATATACATGCATATGATGTGTATAGCAAGATAATTTTATGAAATTAATTTTGTTTTATTTTTATATTTTTTTCTTATAGATTTGAACTTAATTTAAAATCGACTTTTAAAATAAATTTTTTATTGAATTTGGTACATGGATAAATAATAAGTGATCATTATTTAATGATTTAGGATAGTTCTGATACCATCTTAGAATAATGAATGAGTTTAACTCAATTCTACAAAATTGACTAATAAGGTGAAGATTATTCTCCACTTATATACTATTTAATTGTCTAATCTCTAGTCGATATGAAACTTAGAATTTTTCTAATACTTTCAAGTTAAAAATAAGAAATTAATCTCTCAAAATTTAAAGATTTATTTAAATTTTTAAAAACTATAAATATTTTTCATACACATAAATTGAGGATTGAAAATTCAACATATACTTAAAAAATCATAATTATAAATTTAACTATTGCATAATAGTTTCAACAAAATGAGCATTAAAAATTACTAACGGCTTAATTTTCATCATTGCCAGCGTTTTTTTATTGTCATTAATATCTACATTTTTAGGGTATATTTAGTTAAATTAATTTATAAACTACTCAAAAATTTAAGTTTTAAATAAGATCTGAAAAACTTAAAACTTATAAGTTAGCTCATTAAATTGAAAGATTCTTAGCTGTCATTGACTAATGGAGCCTTTTTCCAACGTGAAACATTCTTGCCCGTGATCCCAAAATACTTGCAGAAATGGAGTTATAATTCTAATTATTTGCCTTATTATATAGGAGTAAACTTTTAGCCAAGCCTATTTAATGCAACTTAATTGAATTAAATTTTGTAAACAGAACAAGCCAACATCTTCTTCCTCAAGGTCCATGACAGAATTACTAACGGTAAAAATGATTTTAGAGCAGGTTCTTGATATATCACTATGAACGACGATAGCTTTCGTTGTTGTTGGTTCATCCATAAAAACTTCCAGCAATCCTCTGACCACCAACATTGCTTCGCAATTTTCAAACCGAAAACCCAACTTTCTCTACATGAGGATGGAAACAATACTTCAGGGTGAAAGAAAATATCGGGAAAAATCAAAGTTTTACATTAATTAAAAATACTATAAATCCATATTCAAATTCTAAGAGGATGACCAAGCTTTTCATGTCAAATCCTTGATAGTAATAACCATTGTTGTGATAGTCAAAGTATGTTATTAACTAGAGCGATATTAGACTTTCGGAATCGAGATTCGAATCGTCGTTCGAAACATTAAAATATTAATATTTTTTAATAAATTTATTATAAAATAAATATTTAATTTAATATTTTACAATTTAAATTAATATTTTAATTATTCCGAATGATTTCTGCAGATGTTTTAGTCCAATCTATCATTTCCCTATTAACTAATGAGTAATAGTTGAGAAATCAAGGTAATCATGACATATTTCAAAGACCATAACTAGTGAGGTACAGCCCAGTGTACAAGGTCAAGTAGTTTATCGTCATTACCCTTTTTTGTGAATGTTTTACAGTCACATGAAAACAACCTCCCAAAATGGAAAAAAGATATGATTACCATTTTCTATGACCATGGCCACTTAGCATCTCTCCATCTAAACCACCGGTTTTCGGAACTTACTTCAGCTAAACAACCCTGGTCACTTCCTCTTTGTTGCAGATGTCTATTATCATCACTCAATCCACAACACTGCAGTTTATTATCCCGTATCAAAGCTTCCTCCCTGTATGTTGGATCGCTATATTTAGGGTGTTGGACAAATCGTACATTTTTCCACCAGAGTTTTACAGCCTGCAGAAAACAAGATTAAGAGGATGACCATATTGCACACAGTATAAAAATAAATCAAATGAAACCATAAACAGATTTATGATGTTCAAAAGGTGACGTGCTCATTTAAATAAAAGGAGTACTAATAATATACTCTTTCTAACACACTCTACTATTAATTGAAATTTATCCAAAACTACAAAATCAGCAGAGAGACTTATTAAATAAAAAATAAGACCCACAAAATTTATGAATTTTCAAATAAATTTCAGCTAACAGTAGAGTATGTTGCTAATTTTTCTCTTTCAATAAACCAAGCAAATAATTTAGTAATATCCCGCACAAAACTATGGTTTTTGAGCACATATAAAAGACATGGATTGATTGGAAGGAGCTCGTCTCTTTAGTAAATTTCAGTTCCAATCACACTTCAAATTTCAGTCATTACAAGTTCAAGCCCCTTAAATTGCTTGCCAAAGAAAACTTATATTAGTCTGACAGCATTCGCACTAAATATTTATCATATAAAAACACAGTAAGAGGAAAGTATAGCAAAAAATAGCTTACATGCCAATATATCCATACTGCAACTTTATGAGGCATCAACCAAAAGAAAACTGCATGATCTGACTCGGTGGATGAGCACAGCCTTTTAGCTTTCAAACTGGCAGTAAAATAGTTTCCATGATCAGGATGATGAACTGAAATTGATATTGTAAGATTCTCTCCAGGATCATTTGCTTTGATATTCCAACTCCCGTGCATATCCTAACACAGCAATTTAAATTAATATTTTAATTATTCCGAATGATTTCTGCAGATGTTTTAGTCCAATCTATCATTTCCCTATTAACTAATGAGTAATAGTTGAGAAATCAAGGTAATCATGACATATTTCAAAGACCATAACTAGTGAGGTACAGCCCAGTGTACAAGGTCAAGTAGTTTATCGTCATTACCCTTTTTTGTGAATGTTTTACAGTCACATGAAAACAACCTCCCAAAATGGAAAAAAGATATGATTACCATTTTCTATGACCATGGCCACTTAGCATCTCTCCATCTAAACCACCGGTTTTCGGAACTTACTTCAGCTAAACAACCCTGGTCACTTCCTCTTTGTTGCAGATGTCTATTATCATCACTCAATCCACAACACTGCAGTTTATTATCCCGTATCAAAGCTTCCTCCCTGTATGTTGGATCGCTATATTTAGGGTGTTGGACAAATCGTACATTTTTCCACCAGAGTTTTACAGCCTGCAGAAAACAAGATTAAGAGGATGACCATATTGCACACAGTATAAAAATAAATCAAATGAAACCATAAACAGATTTATGATGTTCAAAAGGTGACGTGCTCATTTAAATAAAAGGAGTACTAATAATATACTCTTTCTAACACACTCTACTATTAATTGAAATTTATCCAAAACTACAAAATCAGCAGAGAGACTTATTAAATAAAAAATAAGACCCACAAAATTTATGAATTTTCAAATAAATTTCAGCTAACAGTAGAGTATGTTGCTAATTTTTCTCTTTCAATAAACCAAGCAAATAATTTAGTAATATCCCGCACAAAACTATGGTTTTTGAGCACATATAAAAGACATGGATTGATTGGAAGGAGCTCGTCTCTTTAGTAAATTTCAGTTCCAATCACACTTCAAATTTCAGTCATTACAAGTTCAAGCCCCTTAAATTGCTTGCCAAAGAAAACTTATATTAGTCTGACAGCATTCGCACTAAATATTTATCATATAAAAACACAGTAAGAGGAAAGTATAGCAAAAAATAGCTTACATGCCAATATATCCATACTGCAACTTTATGAGGCATCAACCAAAAGAAAACTGCATGATCTGACTCGGTGGATGAGCACAGCCTTTTAGCTTTCAAACTGGCAGTAAAATAGTTTCCATGATCAGGATGATGAACTGAAATTGATATTGTAAGATTCTCTCCAGGATCATTTGCTTTGATATTCCAACTCCCGTGCATATCCTAACACAGCTCAGGGAGATGCTTATTAATACAATGCGAAAAAAAGCATTTAAATTTATTGTGATTATCTTATAAATTAAATTTAACAATGTAGATAAAGTATCTGAGGCAAACCATGATATCTAAACGACATTGTGGTATATATAGAAAAAAAATCCATATTAATCCAGAGTCTTCAATTCTTCATTACCATTATTTTGTTCCAGTTTTATTCCACTAACTTAGTAAATAATACTATATTTACTCTATATATTCTGAGAATGACTGTATTTATTTACATTGAAATGAAAATATATCAGATAGTGAATTATGATATGGATTCATCCCAATAACCATAACTTTATTCTTAACAATCTCAAGAATAATTTTATCCCATAGTAGGCCTAAGAGAGATTTCCCCTTACATAAATGGCAATCACACAGCAACCAAAACCAAATGTTAGTATATAGCAGACTGCCAAATAACAAATCCTTTTCTGCAACTTCCCAAACCTCAATAGGCAAACATTATTTCAAGCAACTTTGGGCACACGAATAGGAGAAAACAAGACGTCCAAAAACAAACAAGTTTATCAACTGACCAAAGTCCAAAGTCCAAACATTGGTTAATTAACTTGTAGTGCCATGTCAATACATAATAGTCAATTTTATGAACCATAATGTCCTAAATGCTGCAAAGCAAAAGGTATAGTTTACATACCATAAAAGGACTGACATGCAAAGCCTTGGCTACTAGATCAGAGTGTGGATTGAACACAAAAGATACTCTTTCACCCCATGGTGTATTTGTTACCTGAAACAAAAAAAATCAGCAGTAAGGTCAGCACAAAAAAAAAGGTGCAAAGCATTCTATCTGACAGGTATACAACTATACCTTCGCACAACCTTTTCATGAGATTCCTAATATTCTAATTGGGGACATTATTAATAGAATTAGAAAAACACATTAACGTTCTTCATTTATCAAACATTAGACGTTCAAAATACATAATTCCCCTCACCCCAAAAAAAAATCTGATTCAACAAAGAGAATCCTTGAAAGAAATCAAAGCTGTTAAAATGCTGTCAATTACTTAATGCCAAAAAGAAAAGCACAAAAAATCTATAGGGCTAATTCTAACTGGTCCGAGTTGAATGGAGTTTATGGTGAGAAAAGATTACCCACTAATGACTTGAGTCAGGAATGAAGCATAAATTAGACAAGTCACAGAAACTAAGAAAAGAGAGCTTCTGTCACATACCTCAGCAATGCACTTCATCAATCGTCTAGTAGAACCTTCAACAGAATAGCAATAATACACACTCAAAGGATTCTGTTCATAACCCACACTAGGAGGGATTGTCAAGAGCAAACTGCAGAATTGGGTTCAACAAGAAGAAATTGTAAATCAAAACTTCAAAACAGAGAAAAAGAAATCATCTTATGTCGCGTTTGGATAAATTTCTTCTTTAAATAGCCTAGATTTTTTTTTTAAAACTTTTTTAAGTTAAAATCAAATTTTCCCATAACTTTCATCTAACTCCTCCAAATCACAGCAGTATATGACTATAGCTTATGCTTCATTTTATCTTTTTATTTTCTTTTACTAAATTTATAACCATTGGCTAACAGTCACTGAAAACGAAATTGAAACGTCAAGTTGAAATTTTGCAGGGCTCTGACAGAACCCAATGGGCAAAAATTTAAAAAAAAAAATAAAGAAGATGAATTACATGGGTCCATTGGTATGGGTAATTTGGCGAGCTTCATGGGGAGAGAGATGGTCCCGAGGCGCGTGAGGTGCACGGTCGAGGTCAATGAGCGCGTAGCGAACCCGGTAATGGAAGGAATGGTTGACGGGGTGGCGACGTTGGTGCCACACGGTGCCTTCGTAGAGAGATATGGGTTCAGCTTCGTCATTGGAGACGGAAGAGGCGGCGCGTGAGGATCCCCGCCGTGGCAGTAGAGCGTGAAAGGGAAGGATAAGGGAGAGAAGAAGAGAGGTGAAGGAAGTGGAGACGATTGAGCAAACAAGATAAAATAATTCCATTATTTATTTTTTTTAAAATTCCCTCTGATTCTCAAGTTTCTACTTTTAAGTAACACTCTAGTTTACACCAATTGCCACCAAGTTGGTTATCAATTTTGTTTTATAAAATGTGCATATTTATCTTCTGCCACAATCCCTTTTTAGCATATTTTATTGTCTTTTTATTATATTTATAATTTATTAAAAACTATAAATTTTATGATTAAATATATTTTTATGTTCTTGAAAAATTAACATTTTTTTATTTTAATTTTTTTATCTCTATAATTGAAAATTTTTATTTTAGTTCTTATAATTGTGTGACTTTTTTTCACTATTTATGTGCATTAGGAAAGCACCTAATCATAGCTAATATTTATAATTATCTGTAATATTTTATGTACATCTGACATTTTTAATTGTATAAATTCTTAAAAATAATTATTATATATTTATATGTGTACCTTAAAATGGTCATTAGGTCAAAAGTAATAATTTTAAAAATTTTATAAAAATAAAAATTAAAAAATATATTTTACAAAAAGTAAAATCAAAATTCATTCATTTTATGTAAATAAAAAATAATGTTATAAATTTTAGAAGAATAAAAAAAATACAAAAACTAAAATAAAAAACTAACTCATTTTATAAAAACTAAAACATATTTAAACTCAAAATTTTAATAAGCATCTAAATTCTATTATAATAAATTTTAGTCAATGATATAATAATATTAATATTTAATTACTTATTGGGTTCTTAAGTTTTATCGTGTGTAAATTTTACTTTTAATCTCTATAAAAAACATTTACAAATATTTTTAATTCCTTTTAGTTTTTATCACTAAAAAAGCTAATGTTATTAACGAAGACATGTCACTAACTAGTGTGTTTGTATTGTTATTTACATTTTAGTTCTCATATTTTTAATATTTTTACATGTTAGTCTTTACATACGTACGATCTTTATTTGTTATCTCAATACTTGGAAAATAGTCATTTTAATAACGCTATTAGAAAGATTAATGGAATTATCAAGAGTAAAAAAAATCTCTTAGGTTTTCTTTAATTTTTAATTTAATTTAAAATTAAAAATCTCGAAAGCTTGGGGGTTTGTATACCAGGAGAGCTTTTGGTGGAAAGGTAAAATCGAATACCCTTCAGTTTAAATTAAGAATCAGAAAAATCTATAAATAATTAAAAAGTATTGTTAAAGGTAATTAGGTATTATTAGGTTTACCATCAAGGTTTAGGCTCAATAAGATTAGTATAAATAGTGACATATGATGAAGAAAAAGATACTTTTGCATTTATTACAATATTTATTGCATTGGTCAGTGTGAGATCGAGACTTGAGTTTTGAAATGTCTTTTACAAGTATCATTTTCTTACTTTCTTAGTCAAGTATGCCCGAGAACAAGCCCGAGAACAATTTGTCTCGACATTAGAGATAAAAATAGTGTTTGTATTAGACTCTTTGAATAAGTTGTAATGAAAAGTATAAAGATATGAAAAACATAGACTATGAAGTTAAAAAACTTATTATATGAGGATTGAAAGTGTCAAAATTGCCTATATATTCTATGTCGGTACAATATTATATTAGATTTATATAAATCTACATATTTTTTTCTCTATCAATGTAAATTAAACTTAAATTAATATTGATTGAATTTTACAATAGTTCGATGTATCTAATCAAATTGAATGACCTTAATTATATTTCAAATGACATGGGATCAGTTGAGTTAGAAAGCTCACACAAAAGGCTACTTTTGTTACAAATTTTTGGATTTTTAAAGATAAGATGCGCCAGCAGTTTTCATTTGAAAACAGGTAATTGTCTGCTGTAGTGAATTTAGTCTCACTTGAACAGCAACCACTAATGTCTACATAATGTAAGCTCTAGACTTTCAAAATATATATAAGGTTAACTTTGGTAAGAAATAAATTAGGATTTTTAATGATAATATGTAGTACCATTTTTCATTTGATAATCTCACTTGGACACTGGACACCAAGCATTGGCTTCTGGTTTTATGCATAATGTAAGGTCAAATTTCAATGGTTGTTATATTTTCACATCATGCAACAATGTCTGTAAAAAAACCGTTATCTCTTTTCAGATAATGATGGTCTACTCATGAGTTGGAAGAGTTCGTCTTCCTTGGCCTCCTCTAGTGTTGGATTCGGTTTCGCTCACCAAATTTGACATTAAGAACTTACTATCAGGTATTTTGTACATTATAACAAGCTTTTCTGACTGTCGGTTTTGGTGTGTAAAACCAATCTTGATTTTAATTTTATGGTTTACATTACAATTTTGCTGTTCTAAATATATTGCTTGCATGAGTTTGCTATCCTGAGTCGCGATTCTTGATAATATACAAATTAGCGTGTAAACTAAACTTTTTTTTTTTTTTTCTCTTCTTAGCTTTAATAAGAATAATCTACTTTTAACAGAGAGGCTTCAATGGGTTTGAGAGAACAATGCATAAAATGATTTATTAAAGAAACAACTGAATTAGAAAATACTTTTTACTTTTTGAGGCTTACTTCCAGTTCTTTTAGAGTTCTATAAACCCTCTTAGCTTGTATGCTTGCATCAGAGGCTTACCTGAGTACCTGTGCTCTAGATGCAATAAAGTGGAATAACATGCATGTATGATGACAATGTAAGCTTGTGGCTTATTATATTTAATGAGACTAACTCTTTTAATAAAGATTTTATTTTTCAGACTTGTATTCAAAATCTTATTTAAGGTGAAACTTGACTTTTGTTATTTTTTTCATCCTTATTTAAACAAACTCAATTTATTTTTTTTTAATTTCATTTCCTTTTCTCTGATGGATTTGGGTAGTTGGTGCCAAGTTATAATTTCAAAATTTGTTGTCCAAATTGTACAAGAGCAAAATTGTTTTGTGTCTACTTGTTTCTAAATCGAAACAAAGCATGAATGAATTGCCCCATAAATGTTGGTATAAAAGAACAAAATGGAGGCGAAATAAATTGCATCGCTGAAGGCTATGATAGCAACGTAAACACGTAGACACCCAACTCACAAACTAAACTTTTTTCCTCGGTTTCTCCGCCGTTGTGTGTCTTTGTGTTCTCACACACTCGTTATTTATATTTTTCATCGGAACCCTTTCTCTCTATATCTCTTCGTTTCGTTGCTTCGATCTCTTCGCCCATTCCTTCATTCGATGGCGACCCTTTTCCAGGCTGCCACCGCCTTCGCCGCCACCACCAACAAACTCCACTTCCACTCCCTCTCAGGTTCCTTCATTTCTCGAATTCCCAACACTTTTTTTTTTCCTTCATCAGTGTTGACTCTAACGTTGTTTCTTTTGTTTCGGCGATTCAGAGAGGAAGGGACAAATGTGGGTTGTCAGATCTGATGCCAGGATGAACCAATTCCTCCACATGGGAGCTCATAAGCCTCAGACTCAGAGCCTGCTTACTAATGCAGTTGCAGTAAGTTGTTTGTTTCAACTTTCAATCCCATGTTTTATTTGTAGAGGAAACAAAGACTCTGGTCATTGAATTTGTAAGGCATCGTTATATTAGTCCTCGAAATTAAGAACTTGTAAAATTAGTCTCTGAAATCGAAAATTTACAATTATATTAGTTCAAGAATAAAAAAAAATAGTATAAGTAAAATGACAATGTTGATATATATAATATAAAACATCTAAGGGACTAATTTTATAATTTCTTAGTTTTAAGAACTGATATGATACGCCTTCCAAATTCAGGGACTGAAGTGGATATTTGCTCTTTGCTTGTAGTTTCATTTAGGATTCATGGGGTGGTGTTTGTTTTCAGTTTTTCATGTTTCTGATTAGCTTCTGGGTTGTTTGCAGACAAAGGCAGACAGCTCTGCATCATCAAAAACTGGGTATGTTTTTCTGTTTGCTGTTTATTGCTCTTCACAACACCATACACGGTGTGTGATGAAACTATGTTGATGTGTTTACAATTTTTGCTGGTAAATTGGCCTCTTTATTTAATTTATCTATAACCAGTTTCTCTGTTCCAGTTTTCTTGATGCGTTTACTTGCGCGTCATTTTTTTATGGTTTTGGATATGTACACTTGTCCTATGCTTGACCTCCACCTAATAACTTAAGCTTCTATGATAATTAGTATTTGACAATAATCAAAGTAGTAAGGCACGTAAAGGTGCTATATCTCCCAAGTAATAGCCTTTGTGGTGAGAGGTGCTTCTCACAGCTGCTTGTCATTTCCGGCCATCTTTAAAAAGATAATAAGAGTTGATTCAGTGAAGTTATTTATTTTGATTAAATTCAAAACAGGGAGAAACCAAGAGTGGAAATTCCCCTTTAATAAACCAGCAGAGTAGAGTAGCCTTGGTAGTTCTGAGATTGCTACTCACTGAGAGACCTTTTGCGATGAGAATTCAAGAGTGGAAGTTCCTCTTTTATGAGCTAACTCATGAAGGCCCTTGCCTAGGCAAAAAAAGCTGAGCTTAAAAGGGTCGTTGCCTGAATGACCAAGAGGGAGCCTTTGGCAGTTTGATATCATTGGTGTTGCCTTAGCACTAGCTTTGCCCTGGTGCTAATGCTATCACAATTATGCCATAGTGTAATTAATTATTTTGACTAAGATACACATGAAATCCTTAAAGCAGTTTTGAGTTTTGACTTAGTTTTCACTTTCAAAATGATTTTGTCTTGTTCTGGGGCTTGAGCCTCTTTATTTTACACCAAATAAAATGTTTATTGATCATATTTTAATAATAGATGTTATCTGCTTTATTATGGTATCATGTTTTTTTATAAAATTAAATTAAATTAAAAGCATGAAATTGGCTCTACTGTATTCGCGTTCATCAATAATGTATCATAAATGATAAGCTAACCCCATGAAATACTTATTTTATGGTAATTTTGTTTGTTTTTGTAGTTGATCTTCGAGCACTTGAAAGGGTGCTTGGAGGCCACAAGAAGTAGCTGTTTTGGGTATCTGGTTTTAATGTAAAAAAGAAAGTCTTTGTGTTTTTCCCTTCTCTTTTTTCGAATCTGATGAAATGCATTAATAAAATGAAAATATAAGTGTGGAACTATGATAAAGGTCGGCAATTGACATTTACTGACACTTTTTGAACCCCAGCTAATAAATGATCGGTTGTACTTGCTAAAAGCATGCTTTGGCATTTGTTTCATGCTCGCTTATTGCCACTGTTGGTTGTAGCCATAGAATGATATGATGCCAAATAATGTTGGAATTGATCAGATATGCACTTGACTCTCAGGCATGAACTTCTCCTTTTTGAAGCCCTACGTGAAGGTTTGGAAGAAGAAATGGAAAGGGATCCACGTGTATGCGTCATGGGTGAAGATGTCGGTCACTATGGAGGATCTTACAAAGTGACTAAGGGCCTGGCACCCAAATTTGGGGACCTCAGGGTTTTGGACACCCCTATTGCTGAGAATGCCTTCACAGGCATGGGCATTGGAGCTGCCATGACTGGTCTGAGGCCAATTGTTGAGGGTATGAACATGGGATTTCTTCTTCTGGCTTTTAACCAGATCTCCAACAATTGTGGCATGCTCCATTACACCTCTGGAGGCCAGTTCAAAATACCAATCGTTATTCGTGGACCTGGTGGCGTTGGGAGGCAACTAGGGGCCGAGCACTCACAGCGGCTCGAGTCATATTTTCAGTCAATCCCTGGAATCCAGATGGTGGCCTGCTCAACCCCTTACAATGCCAAGGGCTTGATGAAAGCTGCGATCCGAAGTGAGAACCCTGTGATACTTTTTGAGCATGTGTTGCTTTATAACCTCAAGGAGAAAATTCCAGATGAAGAGTATGTATTGTCACTTGAAGAAGCTGAGATGGTTAGGCCTGGGGAGCATGTCACAATTCTAACCTATTCCAGGATGAGGTATCATGTCATGCAAGCTGCCAAGACATTGGTGAACAAAGGGTATGATCCGGAAATAATTGACATCAGATCTTTGAAACCATTTGACCTTTACACAATTGGGAATTCAGTGAAGAAGACTCATCGTGTGTTGATTGTGGAAGAGTGCATGCGCACAGGTGGCATCGGTGCTAGCCTTACAGCTGCTATCACTGAAAATTTCAATGACTATTTGGATGCTCCTATTATGTGTTTATCCTCTCAGGATGTGCCAACACCATATGCAGGGACATTGGAGGAATGGACAGTGGTTCAACCTGCTCAGATTGTCACAGCAGTTGAGCAGCTCTGCCAGTAGTTGATGAAAATTTTACTTCCAATAAGGATATGGTTCTGGTAAAGCTAGCTAGAATCTTCTTTACAATTTTATCATTTCCTCTTTTTCTTTCACTTCTAAACCCCCCATAACGAGTCCTTTTTATTTGATTTTGAACACCCTTTGCATTTTTTTCATAAAATATTTACACTTGTCCACTCAATTTGAGGTAGTTTCAATTAGTTTATCTGCATCATAGTGGCTATGATTTTGTTAGGCCTAGAACTCTATTTGTACTCTGTGTTGAACACACCGCAATTCTTGTTGTAGGCCTATTTTGAAAGAGTGATATTATTCATACAATATACTTCTATAACATTATTCTTCTCTCTATCTTTGTTTATCACATTCACATCACCTGTCTTATTACACCTCTCTCTCTCATTTTGTATAAATTCTTGTTAAAAAATTATACTACAACCATCATTTCTCATTTTTGAAACCACTTAATGGTTTGTTTCATGGTTGTGAATTTAATCAAAGTTAGTGAAATAGAAAGAATATACTTGAAACACACTTGGGAAATTATATTGTTTTACAGTATTTATTTTTTACTGTAGCCATTATTCCTTTTAAGTTTTGTAAACCCTATACTAGCAATTTTAGTTTTTAAAAATTACAAAACTTATCATGGTTGTGAATTAGTCAAAGTTGGTGAAATAGAAAGCAAATAATACTTGGTCAATGAAAGTCATGTTTATGAAAGAAAATAAATAAATAAATATATATATATATATATATATATATATATATATATATATATATCAAAACTAAGTACCAATACCAATGAAAAATTGATAAATAACAATTAAAGAATTTAAGGATAAAAAAATATTTATTTTTCAAATTCTCTCTTTATTATCTAATAACAAGAAATATGCATTCTCACGATTTTTAATATGAAAAAATAAATAAAAATAAAATTAATATTAATAAAAATTGTAAGATATTTTATAAAAAAAGGTTATTATTTCTTTCTAAATTGTGTCTTATAATAAGGATCAAAGAAAGTTGTTGATTCGATTACAAAAATGAATAAAATATGTTCAATGATATAAATTAAAAAATATATATATATTTACAAGTATATACAAATTGATATAAAACATGAAAAAAATAGTTAGAGATTATTTATATTTTAATCATTGATAGTGAAAATTATAAATTACGACATTTTAAAATTAACTTTAATTGATAAAAATTAAGTACGGTTTAAATGTGTATATATTTTTATATTTAATATTAAATAAAAAAATTGAGTACTAATTTAGATAATTACAAAAACAAAAGATATTGACTTGAGAATTAGTTAAAAATCCTAATATATTATTTTGCATTCTAATTAATTGTGTGCAGAGAACTAAAATATTTTATTTGGAAAATCAATTAAACAATCATAAAAATAAAAATATAAAATGGTAGTTTGCAGTAAATTTCACAAGTCTACACTATAAGTAATGTGATAATTTAATTTTTACGTAATTAATACAATTAAATGTAAATAACTACTTTAGTTAAACATAATTAATACTAAATGAGTAATTAAATGATTATTAATAGATTATTTAGTTGAATTCATAAAGATAAATATGTATATATAAAAAATTATGATTAAATATATTTTTAGTCTCTTTAAATTTAAAATTATTATTTTTAGTTCCAATAATTTTTAAAAATTTTATTTTAGTTTCTCATGTCATCAATATACAAAAGTGACTCATCGAAACAATTATGTAATATTAGTTGAGTTTAATATGATATTGCACTTAAAAGATACTAGTAGGTAGAATTTATGCGATAATATTTTACAGATTTTTCAACAAAATTTAAATATAAAGATTTAAATAGGATTCTTTAAATTACAAGAACTAAAAAGTCTAATTTTAAAATTTGAAAGACTGAAAATAAATTTAAATTAAATTTAAAAATTATAAATATATTTTAATGAAAAAATTACAAGTTTTTCCACTTATTTTTTGTTTGGTTATTTTTTTATTCAAATTCATTGAACTGCTATATGTATACCACAAACAAAAGCTTAGATAAAGTTTTACAAATTTTTCATTTTTTTTAAATTATTATTTTTTCCACAAAAATGTATTTTTATTTAACTCAAATTATGTTGAATTGATCTCATCATATAGATGTGTCCAATCAATTCAGCATGTTTAGTTAAGTTAAGTTGAATTGATTCATTTGATATTGGATGTGTAACCTTTTACCATATGCAATTTAAGATAATTTAATTCTGTTTATTATGTGAAAAAATATTATTTGGAGAAAATCTAATTAGCTAAAAAAAATTATAAAAATATAAAAACTAATTTTATTAATATATTTATATCATAATATTTAATAAAACATTACAATTATTTATTTATTTTAATTATAAGAACAGAAAAATCTACTAATTTATACTCATTTTTTAGGTTAAATTACTTTTATTTTACTCTTTTTATTTAATTAGTTTAAATTAGTCAATTTATAAATATTTAGTGATAAAGGTCAAAATCATATTTATAAGATTTTAGGTTACAATCTTGTTATCATTATAATTTGAATATATTAAAAAAATTGATTTATTTATTGTTAAAATATTTAATTTAATATCTTAATTTTTAAAATGGTACATTATAGAAAATACATTATTTTCATAAAAAATTTAATATTTAAATTTATCAAGATATTTCCATTATAATTATTAATTTCTTAACTAATAGAACACTACCCTATCTATTAACGGTAGATCTAAGACCTTAAATTAATGGAAGCAATTCTTTAAAAAAATGATAATTAATAATAATTATCATTATATATAAAAATATATAAATATCAAAAATAATAATTAGGTTTAATATATAAAATTAAAAAAATATAAAATATAATATCTTTAAATATATATTAATAAATTAATTAAAATAAAAAGATACATTTGTCCACACTTATTATAATATATACATTATTTTCATAAAAAATTTAATATTTAAATTTATCAAGATATTTCCATTATAATTATTAATTTCTTAACTAATAGAACACTACCCTATCTATTAACGGTAGATCTAAGACCTTAAATTAATGGAAGCAATTCTTTAAAAAAATGATAATTAATAATAATTATCATTATATATAAAAATATATAAATATCAAAAATAATAATTAGGTTTAATATATAAAATTAAAAAAATATAAAATATAATATCTTTAAATATATATTAATAAATTAATTAAAATAAAAAGATACATTTGTCCACACTTATTATAATATAGCATGGTTATTCACTTTTTATGTATTAAAAAGAAATTAATAAAACACTAGTCAAGAGGCTTTATATTTTATAATGTATATTGATTTATATACGGATACCAGCATGGAGTGCGATTAGAATTGAGTACAAATCTTCTTAAGCAAAATACGAAATGATGGAGACAGGAGACTGTTAAAAATTAGAGGGTAGATTATTTCACTAGAAATAAATGGTGATAAATGTTTCACACAAATAACATTAAAAAAAAAAAAAAAAAAAGTTGGTTGATGGACTTAAATATGAAACATGATTGCCCCCAATTAACGCGTGAAGCAGTTTACCGTTTGAGGTAAGATGAGTAGAGATTAATCTTTCTTTGCCTCACTGTTTTGCTTTTCCTAAGTGACAGTGATCAATAGAATAAAAGGTTTGGTACAGCTTGAACCAGTGGAGCGTGGTGCCACCGCCATGCCATGTTACTGTAGCACCAAGGAAAGGAAATGGCTTGCTTTAGCATTTGTTGTTGCGTGTGAAACCAGCATTCCCAAAAGCGCGTGGTTTTGTCTGCATGAATCTGCACTACTGGCGTCATGTTTGCCACACAATAATCAAATCTTTCACTGATCACAACAATCATCAAAAACGGGTCACCCTCTTCCCTTTAATCTTTATCCCTATTCTTGTTCTTGTGCTAAAAAGCAAACTCTGCCCCTCAATCTCATCTTCTCTTTCTCCCTTCATTCTTTCTTGTAAGTTTTGTGTTCTTTTGTCCGCTTTGTTTTTCCTTGTTTCTTGTCTGTGTTTGTTTGTTTGTTTGGCTCCAATGTTTCTTAGCACATAAATTCCGACTTGTCTTTATCTCAATCCAGATAATTTGTGAGTGATCTCTACTTTTTGTTTTCTTGGTCTTATTCCCTGGTATTTCAGATAAAGTTAAGATTTTTATTTGCTGCTTCTGAGGGGATGTTTTGGGGGAGCTGTGAATTGGGATATTTGCAGTTGGAATATTTGTTGCTGCAAATTAAGGATTTTGGGGTTCCCCAAGTTAAAATCCTGATGAATCTCAGTTGGTAAAGGTGTTGCCTTTTGATGAAGAGAGCAGATTCCCATATTTGTTATGTTTAAAATACTTTTATAAAGTTAGAGATTTTAAGGAGGGGAATTTTGTGTTTGTTGTATCCTGTATCTGCTTTTAGATCATTGTGGAGGAGGAATTGGTGCTTCTTCTCTTTAGTGTGGATTGGGATTTTGGGGGGGGTTCCTTTATTTGTCATAAAAATCTATGAGGGAATCAGTTCAAGTAAATTTGGAATAGATTCTTTTGTCTTAAGCCCTAAATTGAAAATTGGGTGCTACTATTTGGTGGGATATTGTTCCAATCCATTTGAGAATAAGACATGAACTAGGAATTTGCAAATTAGAGAGGGTAAAATTTTGAGTGTTTCTTGAGGGTTTTACGTGTGTATTTGAGATTTAAAGATGCAGCGTGTTAGATTTTCATCTCAACAAGCACCAGTACACAAGCTAGGAGATCCTCAAATGACATTATCTCCTAAGTTTAGGTTAGCTGTGATCCAATCTTCTTTGGCAAATCCTTCACCTGAGTTAGAGCTTTCTCTCAGAGAAGAACCCTTAATACCAGGTCTACCCGACGATGTTGCTCTCAATTGTCTTCTCCGGCTTCCGGTTCAGAGTCATTCATCATGTAGAGCTGTCTGCAAGAAGTGGCACATGCTACTTGGTAACAAAGAGAGGTTTTTCACCAACAGGAAGCAATTTGGTTTGAAAGACCCCTGGCTTTTTGTATTTGCATATCATAAGTGCACTGGAAAGATCCAATGGCAGGTTCTTGACCTCACACACTTTTCATGGCACACTATCCCTGCAATGCCTTGTAAGGACAAGGTTTGTCCTCATGGTTTTAGGTGTGTTTCGATTCCGCCCGATGGCACGCTGTTTGTTTGCGGTGGCATGGTGTCTGATGTTGATTGCCCTCTTGACTTGGTGTTGAAATATGAGATGCAGAAGAATAGGTGGACTGTGATGAATAGGATGATCACTGCTAGGTCATTTTTTGCCAGTGGAGTTATTGATGGAATGATTTATGCAGCTGGGGGAAATAGTACTGATCTTTATGAGCTAGATTCCGCCGAGGTGTTGGATCCTCTCGACGGAAGCTGGCGCCCTATTGCCAGCATGGGAACAAACATGGCATCTTATGATGCTGCAGTTCTCAATGGGAAACTTCTGGTGACTGAAGGGTGGTTGTGGCCTTTTTATGTCTCTCCAAGAGGCCAGGTCTATGATCCTAGAACTAATAACTGGGAAAATATGGCTGTTGGACTCAGAGAAGGGTGGACTGGTTCGAGCGTGGTTGTTTACGGCCACTTGTTTGTTGTCTCTGAGCTCGAACGAATGAAGCTAAAGGTTTATGACCCTGAATCCGATTCATGGGAAGCCATAGAAGGGCCTCCTTTGCCTGAGCAAATATGCAAGCCTTTTGCTGTGAATGCTTGTGATTGTCATATTTATGTTGTGGGTCGAAATCTTCTGGTTGCTGCTGGTCATATCACTAGACTAAACCCAAAAGAATGTTGCAAGGAAAAATGGAACTTCAGCGTTCGATGGCATGTAATTGACGCACCAGAAAGTTTGTCTGATCTGACTCCTTCAAGTTCCCAGGTGCTGTTTGCCTAGTTTTTCATTATCCTGTAATATTATGTTACAAATATTGTATTAATAATGTAATTAATATAATTATTAGAGGTCTAAAAGTTGTAACAGCTGTGTGAAGGAACTCTTTTTTGAATTGTATCAGTGATAGTATCTTCTTGTGGTTGCTTTGGCAGTGATAGTTGTACATCAATAATTACATTGATATTTTCTCCTTGATGAATGTCCATGATTCTATTGTCAGGAATATTAGTTGTATTTGTTTCTAAAACTATATCACATGCAATTTTTGAAAGGATAAAAGAAGGATTGTACTTGTTCTAAGGGCTTCTTTCTCGTCAATCCGTTAATTGCTCTACTTGACTGTAAAAATATCATAGTGCTGGGTCCTGAGACTGGTCCATCGTGTAATGTTATGTGGTAACAGAATAAAATGTTTAAAATATTCTGCAATTTGGTAATATTACGTAACTAAAAAGTCAAGACCAAATTGTTGGCCTAACATGAAGACTCTTGTATGATAGAAGATCTATGAACATCTTTACGTATTGGTTAAAACTTGACTACTTGTGGGGTTATATTGTATGCAGTCGACGTAACACTTTACAGCGTTTCATCTTATTCCAATTCTTTATTATTATTCAGTTAACTTAGACATAGTTCACAATTTTCAGTTTTGTTTGGACATGTATAGGTCACTTTCAAGTGAATATTGGTATTTATTCTTACGTTGTACATATACATTGGGATTTCCTTTTTCCGTTTCTTTTGAGATGAGTTGTTTGTTTTCATATTGATCTCGTGTCCGAAAGAGACTATCTTAATCGCCTCGTTTCTCTTGTTGGGTAGTGATTGATAGTAAGAAGTATGTATGTCTACATGAAGCATATTTAGATACAAGTCTATAAGCGTTTTTAAGAAGTTATTTATCGAAAAATATCTTTTATTTTTAATAGAAAAGTTCTCAAAAGTCCTTATAGACTATATCTAAATAGGCTTATGGTTGCTCCATTTGTGATACTATTTGTTAGAGAATACAAGTATCTTGGGAAGATCTATAATAATGCGTTACAAGCCAACTATACAAGTGAAACTAACACCACATGCAACCCAAATCCTTGTATTAGGTTTGCAAGTCTATTTCAATTATGTTAGTCAACTTGTCTATTGCTATCCAATGTGAGGCTTCTTTTCCACTTGCACTTTAAAAATCTTCCCCTCTAGTATTTTTCACATGGTATACTTCTTCTCAAGTGAAAGTTTTTCCAACCACAAATATTCAATGAAGGTATACTTTAACTATTGCCACCAATACATTATATATCATCATGATGACTTTTGATACGAGAGATTTCCATACAACGATTCACAATCATTTTTGCTATGTTTCCTTACTCGTCTAAGTCATTCATCAAATCTCATCAAGACCATCACATTGCTAAAAGGCAGGCCCTGGTCATACCATTGGCTTAATATAATTGGGTGGAAATATGAGGGGGTAAAACATTTGAGATATATCCATCAATGATTCACTATCAAGTTATACAAGAGAATTCAACACTACATCCAATTCAAAATCTTAAAACATTAAGTTCATGAGACATTGTCACTTACATATTACCCATCATTATTCAATGTAAGTTTTCTTACTCGCACTTACACTCAAACAACATAATTTATGCATGTATTAACATCTTAACATATTGGCTAAAACTACTTGTGGGATTCATATATCAAAAACTGGAAGATTATGGGTCGTATGCAGCAGATATAACACTTTAAAGAGTTTCAAATGTTATTCCGATCCTTTATTATTGTTCAGTTAACTTGCACATAGGCACTATTTGCAGTTTTGTCTGGACATGTATGTCACTTTCAAGTGAATTTTCTATTTATTCCAACGTTGTATATGTACATTGGCATTTTCTCCTTCTATCTCTTTTGAAATTTTAGTTGTTTCCAAAATACACAAAGGGCTATCTTTATCACCCCGTTTCTCATGATGGTAGTCACTTTCAGTGATAAATATTATGACTTTTGAGGGTTGCGTTAGATGCAATAAGAATATGTTGATTTTATAAAGAGAGGCGTGTGGATTTGAAAAGTTGGTCCCAGCTTGTGTTTAGTGGAAGAGAAGTGGTGCATGGAGCAGGTCAAGTTAAGTTGACCAATATGTGAAAATAGTAGTGAGATGCACGCAACGCTGTATATGAGTTAGGTGGGCAAATTCTTAAATGCTACAAAGAACGTTCTTCAAATGCATTTAAGGGCATGTGAGAAAAAGAAAGGTGCTTGCTTGTTAGGAGGGACATAGTTGATATAGGTAGTGGTGAAGTTGAATGCTGCAGCTTTTTAAGTTGATATAGGTAGTGGTTCTTTCTTGTCATGTAATTGGAATATATGTTCCACGTGTTCAAGTATTCATCGCTTGAAGCTTTTTATTTTTACTTTTTAATATTGGAATATTTTTATCTTTTTGGTTTGGTTGTTGATCACTAATCACAAATTATGAGGTAGTTTGGTAGTTGAAATTAAACGCAACTTTTGAGTGAGACGTTCTCGATTATTTTTATAATAACTAAGCACTTCTTCTTTTCTTTTTTTTTCATAGAACAAGTGTATTATTGGAGATAATTTTGTTCGAGTTAGATGAAATAATCGTGGACAGCAAAATTGTCTCTCCAACATTCAACATAAACAGTTCACATTTATTTAGGTTTCCTCAACATTCAAAAGACTATATTAGAATATGACCAATCTGAATCCAATTTACACCTAACGATCCCTACTTGAAGATTACACTGACTATACCCAAATTGCATCAAATCCAATCCGGGAGCTGTACATGATCTTGGATATTATTTGCTGACTCTTACCCCCGAAAAAAGATATTGCTCTTTATTTTTAATGTGAGAATCTATTAATTTAATTTGATAAGATTATGAACTTCTAATTTTGCATTAGATTATGAACTAATTGAGTTATAATAATGTAAAGCAAAATCCAAGATTGGTCCAACCCCAACTACGTCAAGGGCCTGCTAATCAATGGATGTAAAGTAAAACAAATGGCGCATTGATTTGATTTAATAGAATATGGGAGTTTGATTAAGTTCTTTATCTTGACCGTAGTTTAGGTTTTTTTTGGCCACTTCTAAATAAAACAAACATATAACTTGAAGGCCATGTTATTCAAACTCCCCCTCCTCCTTAATTCCTCCTCCCCCACTTTTTTTTTATATTCTCAAAATATTCTTATACCTTTAAACCTACATTTCCCCTCCAAATTTTATGAAAATTAATTTCTAAAATGTAATTATGTTTTAATACATTACGGATACTAGTCTTTCTAATATAATTCTTTAACATCAAGGAAACTAGTTTTCATACATTACAAAAACTAGTTTCTATAAAAATTTAAAATAAAAAAAAGTCACGTAAACTAATTTTCATTGTATTAAAACATAATCAATAATATTTTTGAAAAAAAAAAGGTTAGAAAAAGAAAAGTGGAGGGTGGAAAGTGTAAAATAAAATTGAGTGTGTGAATAGCATGAGCCTTATTTGAATCTCTTCACAAATGAGAGAGAGAGAGAGAGAGTGGGCCAGTGGTTGGGCCGATGTAAGTGGGCCAATGGGAACCGAGAAGCGAGTGCATAGGTTGGATGTAAGAGAGTTAGAGAGATGGTAATGGTGAAACAGAAATTGGTTTGAAAGTGAGAGGAATGGGTGCGATAACGAGCGCGGTGATTGCAGTGGTGGGAGTGATTCTGGGTTGGATCACAATAGAGATCGCTTGCAAGCCATGTCTTGAAAAGGGTCGAGAAGCTATCGATCGGAGTCTCGATCCAAATTACGATCCTGACCAACAAGACACCGCTATTCGCGCTCCGCTCAACCCCGCCGCCGTCCCCGACCACTCCCCCGCCGCCTCCTCTGCCGCCGTCAAAGCTGTTTGAAAACTTATCACCCTTCTCATGTTTCCGCATGCTATTCAATATCTGTACCCATAGTTTTATTTTACCCTTTTTAGGGCAGTATATGAAAAAGGTTTTTTTTTTTCTTTCTGGGGTGGATCTCTGTGTGTGTGTGCGCTTTAAATGGTTATTCCTCTGAGGGTGAAATGGCAAACTTGGGATCTTAATTGTATTGTATGTTACTGAATAATTATAGAGTGTGGAGACTTGTCATTATTTAAATGGAGATTGTAATTTACCTCAAACGTTGGGGCTGAGAATGTTTTATTGGTATAACTAGTCGCATACAATTCGATGAAATGAAAATAAATGCACGAGTTGCAAAAGTATTTAATTTCTACTGGCACTGTTAAGCGTTGGCTTCACCCTTACCCTTTATCTCCCATCCACCAATAACACCAGTTAGTGAGTGGAGGGGATGATACCGGATATGATTCAGATTGCCTGGGACAGGACTCGCTGCTCAAACAGCTTATAAATTTTTCACGACGAAGTTTTCAGATTAGACACAACCCCAATTCACATTCTTTATGAAATGAGTTTTACCTTTACTATCCGGACCAATAGGTCAAAAGTGAATGACATTTTTATTTTTATTTGTCCTCGCTTATCTTTGATTTTTTTTAGTTATTGTATTAGGTATCATAATCACATTAATTTTTGTTGAACTAAAAAAAAAAAAAAAGCAATAGTACAACTAATTTGAATTTTAGTAAAGCAAGATTTTCAAAATTATGAAAATAAGTTACTTAAACTAAAACGCGTCATTTTTATTGTATTTTATAAAATTTTACTAGCAATGTAAGCGATCATCAATTTCCATCATGTTACCAGATGCATAGTAGACCCTACTTGGGATTTAATAAATCTTACAGGAAATGAGGAAAGCACTTCATTGTTTTTATGATCACTCTCTTTTGGAACACAAGACCAAAAAAATGTTTATAAAACAGCTGAAAATGCTCAATTTGGTCACCGGTCCTGATGTGAGGAAAAGAGTTAGCGTACAAAAGGTTAAAAAAATAGAACACGATATTTGAGAATTAAGAAATACAATGTTGGCATGGCTATTGATTAATTTCTTAGGAGGAATAAGAATAAAAGGGAGAAAAATAGTTGAAAACAAATTATATGGTATAGTTACAAAAGTTATTTTCTGCATTCTATTATATTTTAACGTTTTTTTTTTTTTTTTTTTCATTTTACATAGAAAATATGCACATTTTCTGCAACTTCTGGAACAATGAACAAAATAATCCCGGAGTTCTCAAAGTATACAGATTGAGGAACAAAAAAAGTAATGTATAGGTAAAAAGAAAAATATGACCTGTCCTTGAGAAGAAGCCTACCTTGTTAGTCATCAATTCTTTTTGAATTTCTCGATCATTTTCGGGAACAATTTTGAATTTCAACTAAACGAAAAGAAATTCAAGGGGGAGAATATGGTTTACAATTAAAGTACAGTTGTCCATAAATGAAAGGAAAAGAAAAATGGTGGAGGGCAGAGAGAATCCGTTGTTACTGTACATATATGACGAGGGAGTAAATATCGAGCTTTTTTTTTTCGATTCAAGTAAACATCGAACTTTACCCACGTCATTTAAGAAAAGAAACTTAAAAATATGAAATGAGGTAAAATAAACTATGCCAGGTAATTGTATACTTGAGGGTTGTTCTTGTCCCTCTCCAGATACTCCCTGTCAATAAGGCTTTCGATCCTTTTCTTCAAGTCAGCTGGTTTTATTGGAAATTTGAGCTGTTCACAAAAAAGAACCACTTCCTTAAATCAGTATTAATTCTAACTATCAGATAGAAAACAGTCTGTACATCAGAAGTGATCACTTGGACAAATGGCTACATACGGAAGCATATCATATTTTAGAACATTATCAGTAACACACTTCATCAGAACACAAGTACATCAACATTTTGACATGGAACTACCTGGAATTAACACACTTCATTTGAATAAAAAAAACAAAAGGCGGTAATGAAGTCACCTGTTGGAAGAGTTCAGTAATAAGAATGGTATGACTAAGCAATTTCCTAGTCTTCATTATCCTCACAATAGCAGCATCAACCTGCATTGAACCATGCCAATAAGGAAAAATATGTTATAGATCGTAATCATCACATGTTCAGTACATAGACACTCAAAACACCTAGGTATCTTAGATACCTGGACATACAGGGCAATATTGGTTGTCTATAATAGGATGCCCAACCAAGGCATCTTCCTTTGTTTGCCTCGATTACTGTCGGCAATCTTGGATATTTAACTATCTAAATTATCATTTCTCAATTTTGTGCACATAAATAAAAACCAAACATTATATTTATATCACAATTTATTTCACTGTGAAATTCATGAATTTTAATAATATAATAATTAAAAACCTTCAACAACATTTTTTCTTATTAATATATCAAACAACTCTTCATTCAATTAGTAAAGTTATTTAAGAGTGAGCTTTTCCTTAAACTTACATATCAACAAAACTTGATAATTTTAATGAAAAGTAATAAAAATGCATTTTCTTTAGAAAATTAGGTAATGCTACAGAGATTTAATGTCCATTCTAAATAAGGGCGTGCATATAATTTATTACTCACATATTTTGCGAAATAAACTAATGTGTAAACTTGGTCATTCACAAAAATATTCAGTATGATGCCCAAGCATATTAGTTTCTTATAGATTTAAGGCGCATCATATTCATTGTGCATTAGTGCTCTGAAATCTGAGCTAAGTGGAGGGCTTTTGAGAAAGAAAATTGACCTGATACTGGCGGTCTTGGAAAACTCTTTCAGTGGTGCTTGTGTTCTCCTCTACTGTCTCCTTCAACTGAATTGCATTCACCTGCACTCCATAACACCAAATTAGTTTGAAAAAAAAATCTCATAATTTAGAGGCAGGCTGCTAAACCATGGTAATTGCAATTAAAAGGCAAAAAAAAAGTTGGAGATTCACTTAAGCAGATCCTAAGCTCCTAAGCATTGGGTATGGTACCTTAATACGGTAAAGAGGAGCTGTAAAGCCATCATTAAAAACAAATGAGTCATCATCCTCCACATCTCTACCCTTTGGCAACTATTGCATGTTCAACAAAGGGGTTCAACATTAGGAGATTAAAAATAATATATATATATATATATATAAACTGGTAATTCTGCAAATGGATTAAATGATTACAAACACACCTTTTGCAGGACACGAACTTTTCCACAGGCAAGTGATTGCAAAGTCCTTCTAAGTTCCTTGTCCTCAATACTAGTAGAGTCCTTAATATCTTGAAAGCTTAGTTTCTCAGCATCATTGAATAACATCAGAACAACAGTCTGGAGCACAACCAGACATGCAGAATTAATCACAGAAAAATGTGTGCAACACAAGATAGACTAAGATAAAAAATGAAAATATAAAATAAAAGGGTTTTTAACAGGCCAACCTGAAATAGGGAGACAGCCAGCTCCTTTTTCCCTTTAGGAAACTCTGCCTTTAAGACACAGTGACCTAATGAATTTTGCCACATCAGACGCCTTCCACTGTATTTGCTTAGGTAGAACTCTTTGAAAATATCCTGAAGGAAGAATAATGGAAAAGAAAGGACCATGTTAGGGAAGTCACTCAAAGTATCAAGGTCAACTACAGTTAAAAGAGCATTCATGGTTTGTGCTGAACCTGGTAAACGTTCAATTCATGAGGAAGTCTAACATCCATGGGTGGATATGTTGGCCAGTACCTGCACTTACCAATAATTTCAATTAGATTCACTGGGGGGAAAAAGAAGTGCACAAAAATTAATAATAAGGGAAAACACAGTTTACCCAGTTGTCAAGACATGAACACTCATTTCAATCCCTGATGGGAGTTTTGTCCTAGCCTGGGATGACTGTTTGAACGATTCGTTTATTTCTTTTGATAATTCAATGTCCTGTATCAGAAATTTTTAGCGTAGTTATAAAAAAAATGGATAAAAGCTATATAGTAAATTAGTAATTCTTGAAGTTTGTCAGATCATCATTATTCATGAAGCAGTTGTACAAAACTATAAAACCCAAGCTCAAAATCAAATATATGGAACTTTCTCCAAGAAAGATACCAAATCCTTGTCTATTTCAAAGTTCAAAATACATTTAAATGAGTGATAGGTCATTTGATATGTCTGAGATAAATGCTTAATCGATAGGGAACAACCCACTAAACAATTCATGCATATTGCAATGCTATAGATTTTATACACATAAAAGAGTACAGATTGCGAGAAGTGAAATTTTCTCAACTTCTTTGAAAGGGTGTCAAATGTTGTTTATTTCCCTTTCAAATTAGAATTGCAACAAACTTATTAAGCAACAAAGTTTCAGTTGAATGAAATGAATATTTTCCATTGATATTCACAAGTCTATGTACATGTTTATATACAAGTAAAGCCTTGATCAAAAGGAAAATAATAAATCCTAATTGACCTTATAATTATAATAACTAGGAAAGCTAATGATTAAAATAATCAGGACTAATAATAAGGAAATAATTATAATCAACAATATCATATGAAAAAGGGAATTTATAAATCAAAAAATTCTCACCAGGTTCAAATTCAAAATCAACTTTCAAGCCGGAAATAGAGATAAAAGAAAAGGCTGAGGTCAGTATGATATAAATTGATTGAAAGATGTCTGTACCTTAAACATCCCTTCAAGTTTGTTTGTGAACTGGCTGCCACACTCGGTCTTCAACTGTATGAATGAAAGAAAAACTATGAAAACTTATGTGAGGAGGCATTTAATTGTTTCAGAAGTTAAATGAGAAAGAAGAGCCCTAACCTTGGAGATCATAGATTTCTCTGCATCAATAGAAGCACTTTTTCCTAACAACAGTCTCTTTGCAAGATCTTTCTTATAAAATGCCTCAAACACATCCTTGCCCTTTAACAACAAAACGTCAAGTAATCTTGCCAATATCAGTATGGAAGAGAAAGATCAGAAGAAGTGCATGATAACACCATGGGCATAAATGAAAAGTACAAGGAAATATTGTGTAATTTTAGGTAACTCCACCAATGAAACATCAAGCATACCTGAATGAACCTGAATAAAACCAGGACTTTATCAAGTGTACCCTCCAACTCTTCTTCTGAAGTGCCCTTATTACCTGCACGAAGCTTCTCATCCAAAAATTTGGCAATCAACTCGGCAGGTCGGTTCTGCCAAGGGAAAAAAATAGGACAACAGTCAGTTGATTGTAATTCACATGTAAAATAAATCCCACATAAATGATAGAAAAATAAACACCTCAGCCGAGGACCAAAAGACATCCTAGCTATTTCAT